GTCGACCGTCTCCTGTGCCTTGGTGAACCAAGGTTTCACAACCTTCTTCCTTTTCGATTGGGTCGCCACGGTTGTGCTACCCCCCCCCCCCCACCGGACATCGTCAATGGTTTACCCGCAAAGGCATGCAAAACATGAGAATCCATCCCCCCCCCCCGGAAATGTCTTGTCTCGGCAACAATTTGGAACCACCACCATCCAAAGATTGGGTGGGCGAGCACCCCGCAGGGCCAGCGCGTGGAGCCGATCGAGACCTCGCCGCCCAAGTCGCCGCAGCTTGCCGTGCCTGCGTCAGCCGCGGCCCGCGTGTTGCCGGCCGCCTTGAGCCAGAACGGCGAGGCGGAGCAGGGGAGCCAGCAGCAGGAGCAGGAAGAGGCGTTGTCTGGCGCGATGGCGGACGTGGAGGCAGGGATGGAGGAGATCCTTCCCCTGGCCGCGCGGACAGCGCTGCTAGACTACAAGCCCGGGGATGTGGTCGTTACGCCCACGGGTCGCGGGTGGCACGTGATCAAGGTATGCATGTGCATAGATGAAATCGTATGTTTTTTTTTTCGGAAATTTCTCTTGACGAGACAGCCTCAACGCCGCCGTTGTCGGCGCTACCGCTCTTTCTGCTGTGGAGATACAGCAGTACCGCATCCAAACCAACAGGCCAGGCCAAGGTGGCCGGTGTGTGTGCGTGTTTTTGTTGTTGGCATCGACCGCGCTGACCAATAGAAAGACGTCGGTCTCAGTGAGTTTGAAAATACAAAGTGCTGTGTGTGTTGCGTGCCGTGTTTAGTTGGCGTTTTCAAGGGCGAGCGGTGGGACTTTCTGTGTGTGGGGAGGGGGGGGGGGTTCTGTCTTGGATTGCTCACGTCTGTGCGTTTTTTGGTTTCGGAGTTAGTAGTTGGCCTGTGATGTCGGCGTTTAGCAGCAGCCCTGTCCGGTTGCGTTGGGAAAATGTTAAAGTCAATGCCTGCCTCAAAGCCACGTCCGTGTTGGCTATAAATTTCCCGCTATCCAATGCGAAGACCCGGTGATTCGATTCGTTTGCATGGTTATGGTTCCTTGAAGAGGGGGGGCGGGAGGTTACCGCATGTCATGCGTGTGGGGTGAGCTTCAGTTGTCGGGTGTGGGGTGAGCTTCACATTGTCGTCGAGGATCGACGACGTGATGACGAGACTCTCAGCAACCAGCCTGTTGTGTATGTGTTTGTTCCCCCTGTCCCTGGTTCATCCGAGTGCTTTCGCCCCCCTGTCCATTGTAATGCTGTGCCGTGTCTCGAAACGAATAGATCGATAGCGTCATGACGAGACTGTCAGCAACCAGCCTGTTATGTGTTTGTTCCCCCCCTGTCCCTGGTTCATCCCGAGTGCTTTCGCTCCCCTGTCCACTGCTGTATTGCTGTGCCGCGTCTCGTAACGAATAGATCGATGACGTCATGACGAGACTGTCAGCGACGGCGCGCAAGGCGGCCAGCAACCGCCAGGCGGGCGCGGGGCTCACAACCTCGTCCCTTAGGTCCCTCCAGGGGGAGGGAACTCCAGGTAAGAGACGGGCTTTTGTATGGGGGGGGCGGGGTGTACTCATAGTCGTGCATGCCGTAGTCGTTTGACCATTGACCTCGCATCCCTACAAAGCCGGGACGGAGCACGCCGGGTTCTCACCGGACCAGGCTCTCACATCACCTTGGCGGGGGGGGGGGGGGGGGGGACAAATTGCAAAATATCCCGGGGGGGGGGGACCCCACGGTGACAAGGAAAGAGGGAAAAGAAAAGCGGGGCTCGAAAATTTTCGGAGTTGAGGGGGGGGGCTGGGGGTG